GGTGTGCTTTCAACAATAGCATCTTAATGTTATCCCTTTATAGACAGCTCACTAGGTTTTGAAATAAAGCAAGTATGTTACATGTGCTCAGGTGGACTTTTATGTTGCTCAGTCAGATTTAGTGACAAACAGGAGTGGCGCACTCCTGACGAAGCGTTTGCTTCTCTGCGGGACTGTTGTTTCGGTAGCCTAAGGGAGAAGACGTGAGATGTGCTGGCACAACTGTGGCTGTCTCCACTAATCATGTTGGCTCCTTCTTTGTTTTATTAATAAGAGCATTCCTGCGAGCTGATGCAAGACTCTAGAAACAGCCTTTGTGGGACTTATATAAATAGACCTGTATAAGGCTTAACATGATAAAGAGTTATTAATCTGGTAAGCTGCTGAAAAGAAAAAAAAACTACTGAGAAGGATGTCTGTGTGTGCTAGCGTGTGCGTAACGTGCAGAAAGAACTGTTCCACAGGTGCAAAGGAAGACAAAAAAGTGAACAGCCCCTGAAAAAAATGTGAAACGGTTCCACATATGCCTTGAAAAGTTCCTATATAAAGAAGAGGACAGGAAAGACGGAGTAAATGAATGAGTCAGTGATAAAAAAAAAAAAGTGGGAAAGGACTGGCAGAATAAAGCGGTATTCCATTTTTATAAATATTGTTCAAAGTTGTCATCTTCTATTAAGCCCGTTTTATTTATTTTTTTAGATCTGGGTAATGCTCTTTGTAGTTAAATGGAGCTCTGGTGTGTGCCGGAGAGCTGAAGTTGCAAATTTAAACCAGTCTGTCGACATTGCCAAGTTAGTTACAGCTTGAATCCTCGCATTATTTTAAACATTGCTCCTTGAACATAACTTTTTAATGTGAAAGAAACTCTTTAGCTGGTTTAATGTTTGCCATATTTTCTTTCACTGAGACCCAAACAAGAGGGAAAAAAGCAAAACATGTAAAATTAAATTTCAGGTATCACAGTCAATTATCCGTTACAGAGTTTTCAGTGTTTTAGAGGCCAGTAATAAGCTTTTATGTGAAGGATTTGAAATATACTCATTTTCATCTGAAATAATAAAGACTGATTCTGTTAGCTGGCACTGGCCGTCTACCGTCTTCACTCTGGTGTAATGATCCGGGCTGGAAGTGCTGAATTCAGGGTGCATTAGTGGGGCTTGTGTTTTGGAGTCGGACCGGAACGCAGAGTCCAATCTGCAGTCTGGGGTTGCAGATGTGCTGATCTGGGATCAGCCAGCTGGATCCGACAGCCTCAATCCTCTTCAAAGCTCTCAGCATGCCGAGCGGGCCATGAAAGACTGGTTCAGAGGTACATTCACTTCCAACTTCAACGAATATGTGCTTCAGCCGCTGAGCCTGTCGTCATTCGAACGTTTACAGATTCACTCTTCTGCAGAAGTGTAGCTTGAGTTAATTTATTAAAAAAAGATCATTATAATCTACATCTACAAAAATACACAGTGGTATTCAATTTAATTTTTTTGGTTTAATTTAGCAGGTAAAATGCCATGTTGGTGTAGTGATATTTCATGAAGTAATACTTTGTTTTAACATGAAAAATATATTTAAAGACTTTTTTTGGAAATAATTATTATAGACATCTACAATAATACATTGAAATGTTATTCAGTATACATGTTATGTTAATTATTTAATTAAAATTAATTAAAAAATGTAGTAATTAAAAATTATATATCTTTTTTTTCTTTTTTCGGGATAAATTATTAAGATCTTTATGTATATATGTATGAATTTAAGGTATAAGGAAATCTATATTTTACTATTGGTTAGACCACACAAGTCATTAAATTGAAGGTTAAATAGAGTACATTCCAAGAACTGTACTTGTTTTCAATTAGATTTTTTTTCTTCTTCATATGCCATTGACTCATCTGCTTTTATTGCTTGAAAAAGCAAAAACAGCTGTAGGCAGGAACACCTGATGCTTTGTCTACAGTTTACAGTGTTGACGTCTTCAGTAAATGGTGTTCCCTAAACAATAAAAAAGGGAGCTGGGAAAAGACAATCTACCTTTCACCTCTGACCCTGTTGGAGTACTGGAAGCTTTTAGTCCCCGCTGGGCTTGCTATTTTTTGAGAGGGTGTGAAGTGACGGCCCACCTGTATGAGATTTACCCACGAGACCTCCGCCCCTTGGCCTACCTGGCTCAGACGGCGTCTTTTCAACCCTGCTCTCTCTGAATCCTCTGTTCCCGTGCCAGCCGCCGACTCCGACCCTGAGCACAGGAACGGAACTGCAGCTGCCTCGGGGGTAGATGGAGAGAGAGAACGAGAAAGGAGTGAATGGAGGATCTTTGCTTCGGGGAGGATGGGATTTAGTCATGAGTGAGATAAACTGTGGCTTGTTTCGCCATCTCTCTATTTCCTGACCTTGTTTGTTTTTGTGTTACTTCCTTTTGTGTTACGCATATGGAAAAAAAAATCACCAGAACTACAAAGCTTTCACTTTTTACTAAAATGCACTTCTGGAGCCAAATCAGAATTCATTGCTGTCTTACCTTAGCAACTCTCAGCAATATAAACAGCTTTTAACAGGCAGTCACAGAAGTTCCCATGATCCCTTGTTGTAGCCTCAGTACTTGCAGAAACAGGATAGAGAATGAATCACCACCCCCTCCACCCTTTCTTGTAAGTGCCAAAGAAAATCTGCTGATATTAGAACATAAATGCATTGCGTTACCATGTTGCGAAGACGCTGGTCCTGGGATTTTTGTTTTATCTGTTGCAAGCTTTTTTTGTTAATTTTGTCCCTGAAGCAAAGGCAAGTTTGGTCCCATTTCTCCTCCGTCCCAATTAAAAGGCAAACGTGCCTTTTTATTTGTTATTTTTACTTCGCCCTCCCCCAAAAAGCACATTTTATCTCTTCGATCTGAAAAAGAACACCCACCCTTTCTGTATCCCTCACTCCCCCTTCGAAGAAAAATGCACCTTCCTCTGTTCTCACAGGTCAAAGTTCAGCTAGAGGGGGCTTCAGGGGCTAAACAAGATGCAGCAAGCCTCGACATTGGCGGCTTAGATGAGCTTGCCAAAAACAATTACAAGACGCTGCAAACTTCTGTCTCACAGCCATAATCAAAGGTTCCCTGTGCAGATTTATTGGGCTGCTTTATTTACAACCATCCATTATAGCGGCAATATACACCCATTACGGGATATGACAAGGCTTCATGCTTGCTTACACCCCGGGCTGGTTAATATGGCAGTGATGCACTCGCTCAGCAGCTGCTCGTTCCTTCAAGTCTTGCGTATCTCAAAGAGCTTGAGACTCTTGCATATGATGAAAAAGAAGCTGAAGCTTGGGTTTTAGTATTGTCCCCTGAATGTCTGGGTGGATGTAAATTAACCTTGCATGGTTTAGAGTTTCTCACAAGTCCACAGACAATAAAACTACCCACATTTTTGGTTTGCGCCCCCCATGATACAAGACATGCCTGCATCCTCTTCAGTAATGCGAGTTTCGCGTGACTGCCTCAGTTGACAGCTTTAGGTGAAGTATATAACTCCTCAACCAGGTGCATTTAAGTGATTCCTACTGTGAATTACTGGACCCATAAAAGCACCCTTGAGTTTCCAAAACGTCCTGATGTAGATCTGGGTGTAGAAGCAGGTATAAAGAGTTTTCTCTATCTGTGTCTTCAGCTGTTGTTGTGGCGAGCTTTACTGCACGGCACGTACTACATGTGTAGATAATACCATTCCCACAATGCAATCGCAATGCTGGGCTTCATGTCATTGAAATTTGTTTTTAAGTGAATATCTTACGGTTTTCATAAGCACGTCAATGACAAATAAGAAGGCAAGGTTAAATAAAGCAAGCAAAATGTAGTGAAAATCTAGATGAAAACACACATGCAGAGTTCTTAGAAATGTACTCTGTGTGTTCCTGTTTGTATTATGTAGTTATGCAAAATGTTTATACTATTTTTAAATTAATTTCATGTGGTGTTACCAGAAACATTTGAATACGTTTAAACACACACAAAACATTTGATTTATTCATTTACACAAATCGTTAATTTAAAAATATTGTAAAATATAATATTATACAGTCTGATCTAACCTTGACAACTATTTAATATATCACTACTTAATTTTCTTCTCAGGAATCTTGATCTTTTATTGGCTTTTTCTTCTTTACGAATAAGCATATTAATATATAAATTATTATGTTAACTCACATTAAAAAAACAAAACAGAAGAGGTGTATTCAAGTAATTTTATGTGTGAATTGCATGCTTAATGTATTTTTAAATAAAAATGACAACACAATTGACATATTTCCTTTTTTTAGTTGAGGAGCACTCATTATTTTTCTAATAATACTATACACATCAATAAGTCACCGGTTCACTGAATCGTTCACTCATTTGAAGGCTTATTTCTTTCTTCTTGAACTCGTCACCTCTTAAAGACAGTAAATGCATTCCTGAAGTTGCTTGTGTTTTTGTACGGCTGATAATAAGGTGTACGAGAGGTTGGTGTTTCTTTTGAGTACAGCTTTTCTAATTGAAAGGGCTTCTTTGTCACTTCTTTGATGCATCAACACTTTCTGTCAAAGACAAATGTCCTTCGATCAAAGCTGATGCACTGTTTTGTAACCTTTGGTAAAAGTGAAAAGCACTGCACTCTTTCACAGGCACAGACACAAGTATCTCTTCAGGCAGACCTTTGTTGCGCCTTCCTCCGTGTTTGTGTCCTTGGCTGCCATTGGCTGTTCAGAGGCTCAGGTGGTTCTTTAGGTATATCTAAATAGATGTATGGCGCACAGCTTGTTTACTATGTTCTTATCAAGGTTAACACCTGTGTCACTGTATTTCTACTGCATATAAACACTTTCTGATGGGGATTGTGAATCTGTGCTATTGGTTAGTGTGTATTTGCTTTTGTGATAAAACACATTGCCTATGTAGATTGTAATATTCTTTCTAGGACTTCCAAAAATGCTTGATGGTCAATCAATATCTGCTATTTTATCCCAAGGTGCCACGTGATGATGGTAGAATCAGCAACTGAGACCATTCGAACCACACCCTCCAATCAAAATGGAGTCAGCAGTCTAAGCAGCCAATCAGACGGCGGAGGAAGAGAGGGAGGGTCCAACGGTGACACCAATGGGGAGATCAGCCCGGTGGATTTACTGCACCTTCAACAGCAGCAGGTGTGTGTGTGTGTGTGTGTGTGTGTGTGTGTGCAATAGACCCCAAGTCCTCTACCCAGACTTTCAGGAAGTGTGTTTAGCTGTTAGTTGTTTCTTGTGCAATTTCCACGTCTTGCGTAAACTATAAACAACCAACTATGCGAACGAAACTGTATTGCATTGGTTTCAACATCTCAAAAAGTTTATTTGTGTGGTGTATAGTATTACAGCTTGTCATTTAATGGAAACAGTATAAAATGTTAAAGGCATATTTCACCCCGACATGGAAATTTTGAAAATAACTTATTCACATCCTGTGTGACTTAAGTTGTTCTGGTTACACTTTATTTTAAGGTGTCCTTGTTACAGTGTAATTATACATTTAAGTACTGAGCAATATTAATTAACTACATGTATTTACTATATTGTTAGGGTTAGGATTAGGGTTTGTCTTAGGGTTACTTGCATGTAATTATGCATAATTTATTGTTATTGTAATAGTAAGTACATGTAACATGTGCAACAAGGACACCTTAAAATAATGTTTTACCGATTTTTGTATTGATGTATTTATTTATTTGTTGCAAACATCACATATTTAGAGGTTTGTAAAAATTTGTATTGCTATCATATTATTTAATTATTTTACAATTAGATTAATTTAGATATTAAAGGTGATTATACAGATTATACACTAGAGGTGTATTTAAGTCATTGTATAAAGGAATAACGTGTTTAGTAATAGATCTGGACAGAAAAATGACAACAAAATTGCTTTTCTTTATTTACTAAATTTATGTCTGAAACCTCAAACAATTCATTCTTATGAATCTGATCTTTTTTTAGTGAATTGGGTAATCCAGTTCACTAATTGATTTGTTAGTGAATCACACAGATCGGAATCTCCACTGAATAAATTACCCATTTGTAGCAGCCTGTGTCTTATTCAAAGTTATTATTTAGCTTCAGAAGACCTGACATTTTGGGCCTCACTGATGATACACAGTCCAAAATTTCTCTATTTGTGTTCAGCGGAAGTAAGTTGTACAGGTTTGGAATGACATGAGAATGAGTCAGAGATTACTTTCTTGGGTGAACTAATCTTTTAACCAGATCTAGTCCTCAGGCTTCATATTTCCATGAGATCTTCCAGAACTGCACTTGGCGATTTTATGTATACTCCTAACCATAGTTCCTGTAGATAATGCAGACTCTACTGAAATCCTCACACTTTAGGTCCAGTTCTAGCAGCAGTCTCAGCCTAGCCTGAGTCACAATAATCCTCTAAGCGACTGTTTTATGCAGTGACACGTCAGCGTGCAGAGGCTTGTGCTGTTTTTGCTCTTTGGCCTATGCGTCAGTGTCTTCCATATCCAGTTTGTCAGTTGGAATTTCCTCACTTCCCGGACTTTCTTGGCTGAAATTATTTTTTTTTCTGTCCACACTCTTCCCTAAATGCATTACAGATGCAGAGGGTAACAGGACCCCTCAACCTCGTTATCAGTGACTACGTTTACATGGACATCAGTAGTCTATTTACCTTATTTAAATAAGCCAATATTATGATTATGGTGTTTACATGAGTTGCTTTTAGAATATTCCTTTCATGTTCCCGTTTTACATGTTATCGTACATAGTTCGATTAATGACACACGTCATTACGTCACCACGTTACGCCATCCGACGTACCCTCCGGAATTTCACGTATAAACATAGTTCGTCTTCGTGATGATGCCATGTATCGTTTTGGGCGTTTCATTTTTAATTTTATGAAAGCTTCAAGTGCAGTTAATTATTTGTATGTGCATACAGACGATGGCGGTGTTGAAGCTCTTTTATTTGCCGTCAAACGGTTAAGCACTGCCGTGTGTGTATCCTGTCGCAAAATGCAGCGAAAAGTCCTGCACGACGTTAATAATGTGATTATGGTGTTTACACGTCTATACTGCACTTCAGTAATGCGACTAGGGATATGCCAGTATCAAATTTTCATGTTGCGATTAATTGCAAATGATTTTATTACGGTATACGGACAATAAAGAATCAAAACACTTTCAAACAATATCAAGGGCATGTTGACTCCAGATTAAAATGTTAAACATTTTTTGAAAATAAATAGCCTATTAAGTCTAAATATTTAAGTATTTGGCGCTGTGATGAACATAATAGCAAATACAAAAATTTGAATGGCTGTTTAAATAATTTAAACACCTTTCAGAAACAGAAAGTAGTGCTCACATGTTCCGCCATGTGCTTCTCGTCCACACTTATTTACATCAGAGTGCACACGCGTCTTTCATGCAGAATACAGCGGTGTTATGCATTTTGACCAGTTGATGGGAAAAGTATTCTTAAAATGCATTCAAAATTCTGAATAATTTGTAATATATAATTATTCACGGTATTTAGAAGTGCCCACGATAACAATATCGTGCATATTCATTACCGTGATATATCGCATTACCGAATACCGGCACAAGTCTAAATGCGACTAAAATAGGAATACTCCACATGTCTTAATTCAATTTCTGTTTACTTCGATTATGACTTAAGCCAGATTAAGGTAATCAAAAATCTCTGTTTACATGGTAGATTCTTAATCAGAGTATTGTCTTAATTGTATTAAAATTAGATTATTGTTGTCCATGAAAACTTACTCAATGACACAGGCACACCTGTTAACAGTAGGTGTACCCCGAATAGTCAAAGATTCGATACTTCGATATGAGGAGCCCGATTTGACTACCAATCTCACAGTCTTAATTTTAACTATCTATTAATCAAAACATAAAACATTATTTACCCCGTTTGTATCTGCGAGGCATCCATTACACATTTTCCCTGTGTGTTAACGTCAGTAATTATGGCTGTCGAATGTCTGACTTGACTCTTGGTAATGTATTTTGCCCCGCCCCCAAAACATATGATTTGATTATCAGTCGAATATCGGCTAGATTCGAAAATTCCGATTCGACTATGAAAATCCTTAGTCGGGGACACCCCTAGTTAACAGATCCTATGTCTTAATGTAATATTGATTAACTATTACTAAAAGAGGACTCTGTTACGCCAAATTATTTACCTCTCCCGATTGATTTGGTGTGTAAATCTAAAGGACCTTTGACACTGATGTCCTCTAATATTTGTCCTCATTAACCCTCTGATGCTGGTGAGAAATGCTATTCATGTGTGTTGCTACATCCAAACCACAGTGGGCGATCACCTTTGACCCTTACCCATAATTCTTTATGACCGTTCTCTTTATATAGTCATTGTGCTTGACTATATAGTGAAAGTGAAGCACTGAGTAACTCTAATAATATATAAAATATTATATAAAATATTTTTATATCATATTTTAAAGCAATTATATTTTATGATCATTTATATTTTATAAACTTATTAATTGAGGCATCAAAGGGCTAAAAGACCCACACACTATGTATTTCATGCAACAACAAAAAAAATACTTCATTGAAAAACTAAAGCTAAATGGTATAAATCTTAATAAAAAAGGTTAAGGTCTTGATTCAATAGTTTAACCATATATTGTCTAGTCATTGTAAATGAAAAAGTGAAATTTTGTCTTTCAAAACAGTAATGTTCAGTCAATTTGTTGCCAATGTGATTTTTTTTTTTTGTGCCTCCTTCAGTCAGATCTTGCAATTCCTGGAGTTCCATAAGAATATAAAAATGGGTTCTTAGTAATCTGACCACTGGAGTTGCTCAAAAATTGACACGAGTAACCAGTGAAGTTGCTTGGAGAGTAGAGAGTTCATGAGCAGAACAGGAAAAGAGAAGGAAAAAACTTGTAAAATAACAACTACTTTGCATAGTTTTTTCTGTCACTTGAAATAAGGGCTTGAAATTGTAGTGAAGGTAATGAATGTGAATGTTTGCACTCCTTGGCTGCATCCTCTGTGAGTATGTGTGTGTGTGGAAACTCCCGCTGAGCGAGCATGGCTTCACCACACACAAGGAGGCCTTTCTTCCCAGCTCTGCAGTCTGGTGTTGGTGCACCTGTACATGGTCATGTGAGCCAAAGCCTTTAATTAGAGAGAGAAATTGCCAGTTCCTTCTGTTCTAAACCATTTCCAATGTCAAACATACGGCCACCGTGCCCTCGATGCCACACTCTGTCTCTCTATTTCTCTTCCTTCCTCTTGTCCCTCTTTATTTTCCTTTTCCACTTTCTCTCTTGCGTGCCCATACTTTTGGTCTTTGGTGGCAGCAGTAGCTCTTTGTAAAAGTAATGTTAAAGACATTTTACATCACGGTTTTCATAATTCATATGTCTACAAGAAGCTGACAGCTTAACTATAACACTATATGATAATTATGCCATAGAATGTTGGCTTTTTTGAGGTCAGAAAAAAAGCTTTTGTGTAGTTGTAAACTGCAATTGAGCTGTATTTGTTTTGAGAGGCTCTCATAGTCAGTGACTTTTCTTATAATTGCAACTTTATTTCTTGTAATTTGCAATTCTGCAACTGCATTTCACGTAACTGTGACCTGAAAAATCTTACAATGTTGCAATTGCTATTTTATCTCACAATTATGGCTTAAGTCACATTTATGAGAAATTACAAGTTACACAGATATTATTTAAAAAATAGATGTTATATTTTTTTTTTCAGGATTTTTGGCAGCAGCTTGTTATTCCATTTGAGTTGTCATACAGTCTGACTAGAACAGGTCTGAAGTTTCACTTCAGATGCAAAATATGCCACACAGAGACCTTCAGTGGTACAAATGCTGTAGTCACTCTCTTTAAGGATATTTATTGTGGTTACTTGCCTATAAATGCATGTGTACATGCCTGTGCCAGCATTTATGTGTAGGTGTATTTTATTTCTCCTTGGCCTTGAGCCTTATGGAGTGAGGCTCCACACACCTGCTCATCTTCCAGTAGCAGTTTTATACATTTACTTCAGTGTTATTTGAGTTGCTCTACAGACAAAAAATAAATACAAATCTGAAAAAGTCCCCAGGCCATCTTTTTGATCTGCTGTCACTATTTA